CCATTGGTCCACCAGAATCACCTTGAAATATTAATAACAATAATGGCTTTACCTCCTTTGTCCATCCATCCATCCATCCTTCCATCCTTCCATCCTTCCATCCTTCCATCCTTCCATCCTTCCATCCTTCCATTCATCTTTTCGTACCATGACAAGTATCAATTCCCCCTTGCTTGAGTCCGGCACAAATCATAGATCCATGAGTTTTATTAGGATATGACTTTTCACATGTAGTTTGATTGACAATGGGCACTTGTGCCTGGCGAAGAACATCAGCGTCTGGTCCCGCAAAACTCGTATCACCCCATCCTGTGATGTAGCACGTWTTTCCGGGACGTACTTCTGGGATGTTCCAGGGAAGACACACGGGGTGGACATATCTGTTGAATAAATCAAGTCAATAGTCCTTATTGCAGTTAAACCACGACTCAGAAGTATCCTAATAAGCGTATATAGAAGTGAGACTATGATATGGGACAGAGCTCGCTATAAGTTTAAGAAAACCTGTTATACAGTCAATTCAAAAAATCATTATCGTCGACTAACTCAAGGGATAATAGTTAGAAGTCACTGAAGCAGTTGACTGCAAAATTTTATCTGATTAATATAGTTATGTATCGGACTTAAAAGACGCGTCCTATGCTGACGAGTGGGTACTGTTGAAGGATAATTTTCAATGCCTTAATATTTTCGAAATTGTAAACTGCATTATAACTGCATCCCCCCCCCAAACGGAAATACTTCCATTTAATGGGTTGTTGCATGCTCGCCATTATTATCATTCTAGCGGGAACGATGACTCACAAAACAAATATTATATCGCTTCCGTGATTTTTTGTCCACATTCCTTTTCCGTCCAGTTGAAAACGAAGATTTTTTTCGAAATGATTGCATATATGGACTTCCGAACTTCTGCCAATTATATTATAGAACGAACTAGATATACCATATAAATTTCCGATCCTGCATTGTTGGGCTTTTTTGTGGACACGTCGTCTGAAATATAGACCTCTTTACCTTTGGCCTTTGGTTTTTCCATTTCAAACCACGTCATGTCATTCTCTTAAGAATAAGATTTGATTGAGTCGTATCCAAATTCATGTGTTTTATTTCTTTCGTGTTACCGTTAAAGAAAAAAAGTTTCTCTAGGGAAAGCATGGGAAAGCATTACACCAAAGCTGTGTGATACAATATCTAGCAAAATGTGTTGACACACTGAAAATATTTGAAGATATTGGAGATCATTTCCAAAACTTTTCAAAACAGGAAACTTGTTGTCACCCAATATTGAAATCAAGTGAGGTGGGATGGGGAATTGAATTGTTTTCTCATAAATCAATGCTGCATCTCTGTATGAAAAAAAAAAACCTTTATCTTGCCAAGGTCACTAGTTACAGTTGTATCTCTAACCTGTTCAATATTGCTGGCCTGTCTAGCTTGAGAAGAGCGATATCGTGAGCGAAACTCGCGGGTGACCCGAATGATTCATGGTTGATGATACGGCTAACATTAAAATCTTGTTCGGTTCCCATCACGTGACCCTCGCGTTTATAAGCACCCAACCTACAACACGGTAAACAAATAGATTATGAAAAAATACAGACAAACAGACATATGTTTTTAATAGCCTTTTTCAGAAACTAGTGGAGATTGGGCACTTTTTTGTTGCGTGGGGACTGGGAAATGGGAAACTCCCCTTTGGGTAGATAGTAGAAGCAGTACAAAATATTAGCAATATTATAGAAGGGAAAAAACGGGCGTACTGATCGACGTACTTACCGACGGAAGTGACGTAGTCAAGCAATGAAAAATCAAATCTTTACACCGAATCGAAATGTGGTGATTGACTAGCCTAACATACATATAAAAAGGCTTTTATAGTTCCACGAGGTTAGTACAGTCAGTCGCAGTTATTCAAATTGGTTGCCATATTTCGATCTGGTGAATGGGCTACCAATTTTTCTTAAGTATATGCTCCGTTATAACTTGTGACGAAATGAATAAATCTTTCGTGATTGTTCCAAATACAAAATAGAAACGTGTTGAAAAGATATTTTGTAAAATCAGTTTGAAAAACCAGGAAAGCACAGCTCCCTTTTTTCAGATGAAGATCGCTTAAACACCTCAAACAAAAAAAACAACAAACAAACAAAAAACAACAACAACAACAACAACAAAATATATATACATACACTAGATTGCAGAAATGTTGTAGTATACATTTATGCATTTATACAAATACCTAATGAGATGCATATTGCAATTTTACTTTTTTAACCCTCAAAACCAATTGATTTATAATCTGTAGGATGTAAAACACGAGAATAAAATATTTTGACATTCACTGAATGAAACAAATAATAAATAAWGCGAGTTTTCTGTTTTGCATATCATTAAATATACTGAATAGATTAGGTATTTGCATAAATGTATACTAAGAAGTAGAAAGGTGAAAGGTACTCCTAATTTTACACTGACTTTAACCTGAAACACAGATATATTCTTTTATAGCATTTGTCAGAAAGGAGTGGGGATTGGGCACTTTCTTTTTGTTTGCGGAGTGGAAAATGGGAAACGACCCTTTGGGTCAAGACTATAGACGCGGGAATGCAGTACAATATAACAAGAAAATATAGTTATATTATAGAGAAAAAGTTAGAAAGTAATGAAAAGAAAGAAAGAAAAAAAAAAGAAAAAAAAAAGCCAAAAACGATCACTACGATTAATACTTTTTAGCAAATTAAATCAAATAAATATTCGCTTAGACTCTTCATGTCCGCAATATTCTAGCTGTAATCATGTAACAAAAAATGTCAATGAAGTTGAAATAAGAAGTTAAAAAAGTTAA